CCGTCACGTGTGTGTTCTCTTTCTCTCTCTCTCTCTCTCTCTCTCTCTCTCTCTCTCTCTCTCTCTCTCTCTCTCTCTTGTCTAGCAAGTTTCTTAAATAAAAGACAACATGCTACAGGCTTCTTTCTGGAAATATAGATATATGGGAATGTATATCAAAAATATGCATGGAGATACATATGAAAAGCTTATATGAAAGGCATTCTGCTAGGGGGACATATAAGGAACATATGCACATACATATAAGTACATATATGGAGAATTTCTTATATGAATGGCATTTAACTGAGGCTTTGAAGAATGTAAACACATAGAATCCTCATTTACAGCACTGCCCTGCATTATGAACTCTAAACAATGTTTTAGTGTGTATCAGAAAATAATATTTTGAAATATTAAATGAGACTACAATCATACTGCTGATAATTTAATTGTGTTTGTGTATATGTCCCTGCTCATTTTTAACACTAAAAGTTATTTGATTAAAATAGCTGCATATCAAGAACCATTTATCTCTGGATTTCTAACTGTTGTGATCAGATCTTTATTCAGGGCTATTATAGTAAAATATTAATGAAATTATCATTTCCTGCACTAGACATTACGTGCCGCTGGAAAAACCTACATGATATTTTTTGTCCTGGTGATTTTCTTGGGATCTTTTTATTTGGTGAACTTGATCCTGGCTGTGGTGGCCATGGCCTATGAGGAGCAGAACCAGGCCACATTGGAGGAGGCTGAACAGAAAGAGGCAGAGTTTCAGCAGATGCTGGAACAACTTAAAAAACAACAGGAAGAGGCTCAGGTATGGAACAGCAATCAGCAAGTTTTCTTATTGTTTTAGCTTCTTACTGGAAATGTTTCATCATAGGCATTAGATTGGAGGTACTCTTTTGTTTTGTATATAGACATTGGCATTAGAAAATGTAATTTGTAAGCTATTCAAATTTAAAAATTTCTGAAATTTGAGTCAACTTATGAGGTATTATATATCATGAATTAGTAGGCAAGAATGCATTGGGGATCAGGTTTATTATGTAATTTGCTCATGGAAACTGAGTGTTGGGTTTAAGAAATATAGTCAATATTTCCAACTAATAATGTTACACTTCTAATGGCAACATTTTAGTTTCATTCTGAAGTTGTTTTATCTCTAAAGTTAATGAGAACATCAATGAATGTCTATATTCTGGGATTCTTTGGGAGTTCTGTATTACCAAAGTGGTTTGCTGGGGTTCATATGAAGATATCAGAAAGGCGCCTGAATTTAAATGCCAAGGTTTTTAATATTACAGTTTATTTGGGTTACGAATGTGGTGACTGGGACAGTCATAGCTGAAGAGATGGGAGCACAGGATTGGATTAAAAGGTGTCGGAGCAGAAACTCTAAACTACTGCAAGATGGAGGTGTGGGCTGACATAGCAGGAGCTAGGTACAGTTGCAGTTCTGCTGCATCTCTGAAAACATTTGCCATATAGGGTCAGTCTTTTTATCTTAGGATTTTCTAATAGGTATTTCTTTGCTGTTATAATTTGTGTTTTTCTAACAACTAATGAAGCAGAACAACTTTTCGTGCCCTTACTTTTCCTCTGCGCCTTTCTTTTATGGAGCAGGGGCTGAAATCTTAAAACGTTCTGTCCTTTTTCTTTTTTCACTTTTGAGGTTGAAGTCATCTTTACATATTAAAGTTGCAAGTTTTTTTGTCATATGTATGCTTTGAAAATATTCTCTCCCAGGAAGGACTGGCTTGTTGTATGTATACTTTCTTTTATGCAAATGGGTAATTATTTTGACATTGTTTGGGGAACAAAATATCATTTCTCCACTAAATGAACTTGGAACTTTTGTCAAAAATCAGCTCTCCTTATATGAATCTGTTTTGGTATTCTCTTCTTATTGATTTCTTTTTCATAGAGTCTCTTACACCAATACTTTATTCTCTTGACTACTGTAACTTTATAAGAAGTCCATATCAGGTGGTATTACCTCTCCAACTTTGTTTTTTTTTTTTTTTTTCAAAGATAGTTTGGTTGTTCTTGATCAGTATAGTTCCAAATGAATTTTAAAATAAGCTTGTCTATTTCAGGTTGGATAGTTTCTATTGCACCAACTTCAAGTTTATCATCTTTTCCACTTTGCCTAATCTGTTGTTAAACCCATCTAATTTTTTTCACATCAGATATTATGGCTTGTATCTGCATTTTCGTATTACCCATGTCCCTAATTAAGATTTTGAACATACACAGTATAGATGTAACATTACTTTAGTGCCCCTGTCTGCTAATTCTACCATATGTTGAATTAATTTTTATCTGTGTCATGGGTTATATAGTCTTTCTTTTTACATTTCTGAAAATCTTCAATTGAATTCTAAAAACTGCCATTTTAGGTTTGTTGTTGCTGGTGTTGCTGAATGTTTTTGTATTCTTATAAAAATTCTTGATCTTTGTGATGAGGTAATTTAAACATTAATAAGAGTTTGATCCTTTCTCATCTTTAAACATTTGAACATTTCTTAGATAGGACCAGAGTACATTTAATACATTTAATACAAGATTGGTTATTCACCTACAACCAAATAAAAACCTTTGTAAATACTATACCCGGTAACCCTTTAAAATGAGGTACTCCCAGCCTGGCCTACAAGGTGAGCTCCAAGCCAGCTGGAGCTACAGAGAGACCAAAAAAAAAAAAAAAAAAAGGAAAAAATGTGCCTTTACTCCTTAAACATTCTTTTCTACTCTGTATGTTCCCTTCCCAGCCAGCAGTCTTACCTGCTGATTGAGAACCATGTGCACACCATGAGGCCTGATGTCAGCTGCTGCCTCCCCTAGGTTGGCCTAAGAGATGATTAAGTGTGCAATTATTACCTGATGAAACACATTGGGTCAGAGAGAGAGAGAGAGAGAGAGATTGCTGAATATTCTTCTCAGTATTCAAAGGAATCTCAGAACTCCAGGGGTCTGGCTTGTTTAGAATTTCTTTTCCTTGTGTACCTGTCCCGTAAACTATAGCCACCTTGGTGTCACTACATTCTTAGCTCCCTATCTCCTGCTCATGAAGTCTACAGAGATACTCTCCCCCTGCATTGCAGTCTAAGAGTTCAAGATCATAGCTTGAGCAGCTAACGGAGCTTGCCTGCTTGCTTTGCCATTTCCCAGTGTCTTAGAACATCTTAATGAAATGTTCGGTGTCTTCAGAACCATCGTTTCATCCATTTTGCTGTCTCACTGGTTGTTTCAGGAGAAAGCAACGTTGGCACCTGCTTTTCCAGCTTGGCTGGAAGTGGATGTCTGCTAATGTGTTCTTTTTTTTTTTTTTAATGTATTGGCTTTTTTGAGGGTTTTTTTCCCCCCAGATAAATGGGCCATAGATACTTGAAGTGTTATTTAAATGCCAATGTATAATTGGAATTTATAGACCATCCTTCATTTATAGAGCATCCTTCATTTTTGCCAGAAAGTTCTACCATATTGCAATTATTTAAGTTTAACTTCACCTTACTACAAATAAAACACATATGTAAGACAGTAAACTAGTAGCTAGAGTTCAAAGACTTTCCTTATTTCAGAGTTTTAGTAACATTTTATAAGAAATAATATGTATAGATTGAATAAAACTCTATTTTAAAACGGATTATTATAACTTATAAAAGTATGGAAAATACTACAAAGATAACACAATGTAAAAGTAAGTTTATTCTGAAATGTAACCATGTGAGATGAAATATGACACATATTAAAAGTATACCATCTTCTAAATGTTCAAATGAAAATCTAAGTAAGTTTACTGCCTCTAATAGAAGTTTAAAGGAGCTAATTATCTATCTCATGGTTAAATCAGTTAAAATCTGTCCTCCTAAGTAATATCAGTTATTGGATTCCAGTGGTCAAGTCACCATGATTGGATGTAGCAGTAGTTTCATAACTTTTAAAACAGCCCAGGGACAGTGGTTTAGAACTTAGTAGGTACTCAGAGCACCAAGTTTATTTCAGTTCCTTGTTACTAACCTGGTATCAATGACTAGTGAATGGCAAGGAGAAGAAGGGAAAAATGACCGAACACCATGAGGCTGTGTGTGCTGTGGTGAAGGCCAAGGCTTGTTCATTATCAATGACTCTTTAAAATTTGCTATCTAGTCAATGACTTCCTGGAGCTCAGTATCACTTTCTCTTTTATTAATTATCTGTTAAGGGTCCTGTAGATTTAATAATTGTATAGACACAAAAAAATGACATATGCAACTTAGTGGACTCACAAAATCAATGACAGTTTCAAAATGGAAAGACTAACATTAGAAAAAAAATGTTTTGCCATAAATCACTGAATTTGTGCTTAGTATTTAATTTGTGACCTTTAAATGTCTAATATTTTCAAGTTTAGCATATCTCAGTCTATGAGATCTGGTGAGAAAATATTAGAGCAAACTATAGGACACAATTCAAAATCGTGATATTTAAGATATCTAATATAAATAGGAATTTATTTGAAACAAAGTTAATGTCTTATGGCTTTGGACAGGATTTTAATTGTATTTCATGCTTAAAATGAAGGGATTAGCCATGTAATTACATTTTTAAGGACCCATATATACAGTGAGTTATAATAAAAGTTTATTTTGAAGCATAGAGAAATGTTCTAAGAAAATGTTACCTATGTAAACATTATTGCAAACTAATTTGTGCCTGGTTACAAGAGGAATTCAGGAAGTTAGTTGACAAAGAATAACTATGAGTCTAAGCAAGCAGGACATTAGTAGTATGGCAGGGCTGGGTATAAACAGGTGCACAGACATGAGAGACGACAGGAAACATCTGCCTTTGAGGGAGTCGACAAATCTCTGGAAGTGGAACAAGTGACAGATTTGAGTTGATGAATGACACAGAAAATGTGTTATGTTGAGGTTACTTTTGTTGCCTTAAAAATGTGTTTGGCTTTGAATTGTTTGAACTGTTACTCAGAATAGGCAGGGAAATCATGCCATATGCAAAACAAATTCCAGAAGTGATTTAAATGGACAAAAGTTTCAGGACTGTGGCAAGGAAGTATTACCACCACTTCCTTCGTTTCTAAAGACAAACAAGTCAATAAATGATACATGCTGGCTGTTCTGTTTGTGTCTCTACAAGGAGGAAAGGAAAAGTAGGCCTTTATTTGGATGAAACAAAGCTATGTGTATTCATTCCTTCAGCTCTATGTATTATGTACCTCATATGCATCGAATACTAACTGTATTTAACTCACCCAGACACTGCTTTGTTTACGTACTTCATCACACACATGTAGTCATGCAACATCTTCAGTGTCTCTCATCTGTCATTATTGATGATGTTAGAAATGATAATGGCAATCAAGAATGCAAAAAATAGTAGTCTTGCTATCATACAATTTTATAAATATCCAAATGCTAGATTAGGGTTCTGTTAACACTCTAGGCATTTTCTCATGGCAACATTTAGATGAGGGATTCTGCATGGATCTAGTATCTATGCTGCATTTAATGTGTTGCTGAGTTCAACATGTAAACTTAGCACTACATTTGGCATGCTACCCCACCTAGTGAGACCATGCTGATCCTCTTGAAGCACAGCAGAGTGCTTTCAGTTTTTAAAACTTTTTATTTTAGTTGGCATAAGGTTGAAAAATAACAATTACTGCAGACAGCTTGCTGCTTCTTGGCAAGAAACAAACTATGGGGTGTTGTCAAAGCTCTTTAAATGGGTTTCATCTCAGGCCTTCCTATAGTGCTAGTGTACACACCTCCTCCCTGTCTTCTGTGAGATCCTGAAAAGGCAAGGCTAAGATGTCCTGCACTGCACCTGAAAGTCAGACAATTGGCAGCGAGATTCCTTTTGAATCTTTGCTCACCAAATATTTACTGAGTACTTTCTGTGTCAGATGGTATACTAGACACCGTAAACAAAAGAAAAAAGCAAAATGTCTATCTGACAGGGAGAAGAGAGACAAATGATGGATACATTTGAGTTATTTATATTTGATAATGACATAGGGAAAATGTGACCAGTATTTTCATAATGTGATCATTTCTACTCTGAGCTCACATTTAAAAACAGGAATAAATAGTGAGAACCTGTCTTTGCTGTGTGCTATATTGTTTCATATCCTCATTCAGCTGTGGTTAAATCATTTCCAGTCTAAAACTACTTCTATGATGAAAATACAAAACATTCACCATGATTGTCCCATAGCTGACTGTGCTGCATTGATAAGTCCAGAAATTCAAAATACCTAAAAATACTTGACACTGAGATATGCAAAGAAAATATTCAAGATGGCCTCATAATCTTTAGAAAACTTATTTCAGAAAGTTATTTATCAACTATTAATCATTTATAATTATAATAATATGTAATTTATATTTAAAAATTTACAACTAAAAGTACTGTGTAATAACTGTCTGGAATTATCATGACCCCAGAGGTGTGAGCTATGGGACTAAATGTAATTTGAACAAATTCCCGGCTGCATACCCCCACGGCCTCCACATAAAGATAGAATAGTGACAGGCTGAAGGTTTGTTTAGTTTGGTTTGGTTTTGGTTAGGAAGAGGGTCTTACTCTTGTAGCCCAGGCTGGCCTCAAATTCACAGTTCTCCTGCTTCAGTCTGCCAAGTGCCAGGATGACAAATGTGCACCACCATACCCAGAACCTTAAATGCTTTGAGTTCACAAAAGAAAAAGGAAAAGCAAACAAAGTGGCAGCACATGGCTACCCACAATCACTCATGAGAGGACAGTCCCTGTGCGCACCCTTCCCCCGCACCCGGGAGAGGAGCTACTGCTAAAAAGCACTTGCCTTTAATGAAAAGAAGCTTCTTTAGGGCAGCAAATGTCCTCTGAACTGGAGATACCCTCAAGAGAGTCTTGTTTCAAAGGCCAGTCACACAATGTGTAACCAGACTGTTCTTGCTAATGCATACTGTCTTAGGCCATTTAAATGGGTAGAGGTTATCTTCAGTAAACTCATCTGGCAAAACAAAACAGAATGACTAGAAGACACAGTTTTCCATCCTAGTTAATAGTCTTAGATATCTTTGTCACCTGCTTCCATACAATAAGCAGCTTCTGGCCTTGGTTCCCAACAGGCCGTGGCAGCAGCATCTGCTGCGTCCAGAGACTTCAGTGGGATAGGCGGGTTAGGAGAGCTCTTGGAGAGTTCTTCAGAAGCATCCAAGTTAAGCTCCAAGAGTGCCAAGGAGTGGAGAAACCGAAGGAAGAAGAGGAAACAGAGGGAACATCCGGAAGGAAACCACAGAAGAGAAGAAGACAGGTTCCCCAAGTCAGAATCTGAAGACAGTGTCAAGCGAAGAAGCTTCCTGTTTTCCCTCGATGGGAACCGGCTGACAGGCGACAAGAAGCTGTGCTCTCCCCACCAGGTATGAGGTCTGCTTAGCACGGCTAAGGCACTGCCTGTTAACCACCGTGTTTCATTTTGGTAGATCTTTGCAGTATTTCATTTGAGTGACAACACTAACGCAATTGAGTTATCTAATTTGTATCATAAATTTGACTTAGGATTTTGAAAAATTAAGCCATTTCTAACTTTTAATTTAAGGTCATTGTCCTTAAACATTTCACAGTTTTGAGACCATATTTATTGATTTTTTTTCTTCTGCTTTAGACCGATGCAATTCTGTCTAAATTGCTTCTTAGACTTTTCAATGGGACTGTGTGAAAGCTCCTGTTTAGTTTTTCCATTTGAAGAAGTCAGACAAACCTAACTTCTTTCTGTGTGTCCCTGTTTTTGTTACAGGAGACTATAGACTCCTGTAACATAGAGACTAGACAGTAACATATATTTTGAAAAGAAATGTCTCAGGATTTACTTGGTATGAAAATTAGGCTCTAGTGAGTCTCCATTAGCGTGGTGCCCTACACCTTACAATGAAATTACAGCCTACATGCTCCTCAATAGAGACGTTGAAGTCAGTCAGATTTTGCTCTAACTTCTGCCAACTAGCCAATTCTTCAGCATAGTTTTTAGGTCAAAGAGAACAAAATAGTTTTAGCTCTTTGTTCCTTAAACACTTTATGGGTTATGTAATACAAATAGTAAGTAGTTCTGAAATCTGTGGTGGAAACTGTGTTGGATACTGTTACAGTTATGAACCCTAGATGGCTCTATTAGAGTCTCATGCACTATAAATTATGAACTCTTCAAATCATATTAATTTAACCTAAAATTATACCCTAAGGTTAATGCCTTGAGGGGCACACTATGTGATCAATTCAAAGGGGAAAAAAAAACCTATGAATCAACCAAGGAATATGATATTCTTTTTGTAAGGAACAAAACCTTTAATGAAAGTAAGAATGAAAATCATAAATTTTAGTTCAATATATTACTTAGTTCTTTTCTTATTTTGATTTTTGTTTATTTTTAGACAGTCTTACTATCTAACCCAAATAGACCTTGAACTCACTATAATCTTCCCTCCTCAGTCTCCTAAATGCTAAGATTACAGACATTCGCCATCACATCCATCTAATGCTTAGCTGTCAACTAGAAAAAAAGGAATATAAAAGTTATGTCAGAAGATATTTCATTATTTATGTTGGTTATGTAAATAAAAGCTTTAAAGGAAATGTTAAACTATATTAATAATTTAAAACATATATTCTTATATCAGGACAAAATAGGCATATAGACACAATTTCAAGATAAGAAATATTTATCTACCTATAGAATCAATACCAAGAGATTGAGGGTGTGGTAATGCATGGCTTTAATCCCAGTACTTGGGAGGCAGAGGCAGGCAGATCTCCATGAGTTCAAGGACAACTGGGAGTGCTGGGAGATCCAGTCTCAAAAAACAACCAACAACAACGACAAAATCCTCCTGCCTCAGCCTCTTGAGAGCTAGGATTACAGATGTGAGCTATCATAACTATTGAGAGATTTCTTGGGCTGGAGAGACGACTCAGTGGTTAAGAGCACTGGCTGCTCTTGCAGAGGACCCAGCTTCGAATCTCAGCACCCACATGGCAGCTAAACACCGTCTGTAACTCCAGTTCCCGGGGATCCGACACCCTCTTCCTTCCTCCACCAGCACTGCACGACATGGCTATACTTACACACATGCAGGCATAACACTCATACACATAAGATAAAAATAAATAAAATTTTCAAAAATTTTAAAAAGAAGTTGATTTGTTACTATCTTGCATAATACAAATACAAATGTAGTATTTTGTCAATATAACATATTTGAGAGTATTTGTAAATCTACAAAGAAGTCAGATCATATTTATTTAAAGGCACTCAATATTTTGACCTTAAAACTTCTAGGGATGATTGAAATGAGCAGTTTTTGGATAGTACAATATACTTATTGATGTTACAGAAAATCTGTCTAGGTTTCAACAACAAACTAGACCTGTGACCTTGATAAAGTCACACTTTGAAATTTTCTGTAAAGTGAGGTGGTAATGCCAACCTTAAAGCACTATAGAGATTTAAGCATTGCATGGAAATCCTGTGGAGGAAGGGACAAATTAAAACTGGTAACTTCAAATGAAGGAAATTAAAAATTGTGAATAGTTTCAATTGTTTACAAATGTACACGCAGAGAAGCGAAATTTACATGACAATTGTATGTGTTTTGAAACACATTTTGAAACGTATTTTGAAAATAGGATTATTTCCCTTATTGAATAACAATTTACAGATTAGTTCCTTCGTATAGCAAATATTTACCACTGTCTTAGTTTCTTTCCCAGTTTCTGTGATAAAAGACTCTGACAAAAACAACTTAGGTGAGAAAGCATTTACAGTTCCAAGTCACTCTCCATCACTTCAGGGGAGTCATAGTGACAGGAGCTTGAGACAGTGGTCACACTGCATTCAGTCAAGAAGCAGAGATCAATGAATGCTTTTGCTCAGTTCCCATGCTCTTTTCCTTTAGTCTAGGACCCAAGAATGTTGGCACCCTTAGGGTGGGACTTCCCAACTTAATTAACCCAATTAAAGGAATCTCCCACATGCATGCCCAGAGGCCCACCTTCCTGGTGATTCCAGATTCTATCAAGTTGATAATTAACACTAATCATCATGATCATCTTTTATGTGTAGGAGGAATTCTAGAGTTCTTGGTACTGAAAATTCCTTAAGGAAATAAGAAATTCCATTCACTGACATAATGGAGCTTTATTCTAAAGGTTGATAAGCAATAGATAAGTCAGATATGTTATTACTGTGTTTGTTAGAAGGTGATAAATGCTGTTGTTGTGGAGTGCTTCACCAGAGAAGATCACCACGCAGACAAAGTTTTGCCAAATCAAAGTCTTTGCTGGCTACTACACAAGGGTGTCAGAACCCAGGTGTGTAGCCCCGAGCCATTTCTAGGGTTAGCTTGTATGCAGAGGAACCACAACCAGGAGGTGAAAAGTTCAAGTTCCCAAGCTTACAGGTGGAGAGCCCTCTTAACAGTTTCTATTCTATTAAGCAACAATTACTATTTTGCAAAAGCAAGCCAATCATAAACTACAGAAACCATAAATCTGCAGTTAGCAGGTACACTGTGGGACACACTGACTTGTTCCTAAGACAACTGGGTCCTGCTGATGTGTGTTCCCATACCCTAGGCCAACTGCCTGATAATTTCAGAGACTAGAGTCAGCCTAAACTTTAACATGGAGGAGCTATGGACAAGAAGGTGCCATATCACATTGGGAGAACAAGAGCCGTATAATTGGAAATGAAATTTTAAATGTGATGGCTTGAAGGTAGTATTCTAAGATTTAGAGGATGAAAGAGAAAAGGTAATCTCGTGAAACAGCATTATAGGGCCAGGGGGAAAAAACAGTGCAAACCTTTTATGTAACAGTGTGTCCACAAAGCTCAAAGAGCAAGTCTGGGTGACTAGGGCTGAGTTAACCATGGGGAGGCAACAGCAACGGGAAGGCAGCTGGTAGCTAAAAACTAAACACTTGGAACAAAACCAGTGTACACAGATGTTATATGTAGTTCATTTTATATTTGTAGATAAATGAATAAAAGATGATAGATGATAGAATTTCATAAGTAAAAGAAATATTGGTTAGTGTTGACTCTATAAATCTCACTAAAAAGAGAGGGCATTAACATGACGCTCCAGCAGAGCTATGCTAGAAGTTCTTTATAGTCACAGCTTTATAAGCAGAAAAAGGCTTTCTCTTATAGGAAAAAGAGTCAGTAAAGGCAGCAGGAAGCCCAAGATGGACTGGGCATATTGTTCAACAAAATATATCTTCCCAAAAAATGTCAAAGTGGAGAGGTCATAAATTATGGGCACCTTGTCCTCATCTAGCAATGTAAACTTTAAATGTTATTTTACATTTATTACATTATTTTACTTTTATATGCATAATACGTATTCATAGTACAACATGAAAAGTTATTTTAGGACATAAAATGGAAACTAATCTCTCTAAGGATTTTCTCTGTTGTTTGGACACACTGGGACCATTTATTTTAAACCAGAAGGCTGGTAGCTACAACCAAATATAGTTCCTGATGGGTCAGAAGCAATGAAAGTGCATGTGTTTAAGGTGTGTGTAGCTGAGTATTTCCAGTACATATCCATTCTCTATATTCCATTAGAACAGCTGTTTATTCCCTGCATGTCCTTCAGTGCTCTCTACCCAGGTTGAGTTCAGACCCAATACGCAGGGTTATGTCACAGAGAATCAATACTTACTGTCCCCTTTGTTATTGAACACTGAGGAAAAAGTCTATGCTTAACTTCTCAAAACAAAGGAAAAAAATGAAACCGATACCTGTAATTTCTCTTCTGGCAGGCCTAAAGCAAGGCAAAATTGTCCTTTGATTCAGCACATGAACTTTTTCCCTAGAGAAAGGGTTGCCACAGCTGCGGGTATTCCCTTCTCTCTGCTGCGTCTTCTAGGGTGTTATTTTTGGTTTATTTTCTCTGAATACTATTTTTGTTATCTTCTTTTTCGGGCTTTGTTGCCTTGAAAGCTGTGCCCACACCCGTCATTATACTTTCCAACGAGTGAATAGAAGTTTCAAATAAACTCAGAGATCTGGAACGCCTCTGAAAAACACAGACATAAAAACATGCTGATTAAAGGCATGTACAAGATATGTTATAGATGTAAAAACATACCATACACTCCCAACCAATGTAAAATAAGCAGATTTCCAGTTTCCAGAGACAGTTTTAGAATGCAGGTATGTTAAGATGATTACTACATTGAACCATCCTAGGAATTAATGTAAGACATAGAATATTGAAATGTAAGTTTATACTTCTCTGGGGGTAGAGGTTCACCTGCATTTGGAATCACCTAGAATGTGGGTTAAAAATCAGATTCCTATATTGCACTTACTGGGTCTTCACATGTTTTCTCTTGCTATAGCAGAACACCTGAGACTGGGTGGTTTATAAAGATGTTTGTTTTTACTCATAATCTGTAGACTAACCAGTCCAAGAGTAAGGCAGTGGTTTTCTCCTGGTTTCTGGGGGACCCTCATGGGTGGAAGGGCATGATCATATGGAAGAGAGAAGAGGGGACCAGAATCTGATAGCTAACTCATTCTGATCAGAATAGCATTAATCATTCATGGGGGCGTTCCCTCCCAACACTGCCCTGTTATGGAATTACACTTCTAACACATGAAGTTTTAGAACAAACATCAAATTAGTGCCTTCTTACTCAATCTGAATCCCAAGTTTTAATTTCCTTAAAATATGTACTTTCAATTTGTTCAGGAAGTTTCAAAACACTAATGCTGAGCCAGGTGTGGTGGCACAGTCCTTTAATCCCAGCACTCCAGAAGCAGGGACAGGCCAGTCTCTCTGAGATTAACACCAGTCTGGTCTACAGTGAGTTTCAGGCCAGCAGGGGCTACAGGGAGACCCTATCTCAAAAACAACAAAAAACAAAAGCACATCAACAGCAAAATCCCCTAGCTCTGATTTCAACCAATATTACAATATTGACTACTTGAGTGTGAGATTACAAACATTAGCATTCTTTATTAAAGCGGAAGGTCAAGACTCTTGATGCCTGGCATAGGGAATGAATCTAGTAGACACTCTCGTTGGGACTGAGTATTGTGTGGACACAGCACACTTTAGGCAAGTTCCATGACTACTGGCATTTATAGAGAATTTAACCAATCAAAGAAACAGTGCCTTTCAGAATGAAAAGTATCTTTCAAAGAAGCTCTAAGGGACAGACGCAATAGTCTTGGAAAAGATATAAAAATAAGCTAAAAATGTAATCTAAGAAAATCAGCCTGACCTAATTAGGCAGAAAAAGAAAAAGTAGTCTATTTTTCCTGTTTTCTCCACTAAAATTATATTTGGTTTTACACTAAAGAAGAAAGAAGAAATCCAAGCATGTTTTCTGTTGCATGTGTTTCACATGTTAACATTTGCATATGTTATTCTGTTTTGTTTTGTTTTTGAGACAGGATCTTGCTGTGTAGCTCAGGCTGGCCTAGAACTATGGGTCCTCCTCCTTCTGCTTCCTGAGTATGGGAGTACAACAAGTATGTGCCTCCATGCCACACCTGGCTACATACATACAACCACATAAGTATGTAATTATGTATGTATGTAAATATGTATGTGCTTACAGTGACTTTGAAGAGAGGCAGGAAAAGGATTAAGAGATCAAGTAAGGAACAAAAAAGGAATAATATGATTAATGTTAGGGAAAGCATCATCAAAGTGGAATCATTCCTGAGTGATTGGGTGCAGGCTTAAATGCATTCAAAGTCCAAGAAAGACCTTTAAGCCACGTCCTCTTTTCTGGTATTAGAGAATAATTTATTGGTTTATTTGTAAATATCTATGATAAAAACATTTTTGTCGGTTGATGTCATATCCCAAAGGTTGTATACTTGTCCAGTCTGTATTGAGACCCAGGTTTCATGCCTCAGCACAGAAAAAAAAAGAAAAAAAAAAGGAAAAAAGAAAGCCTACAATACCTTTGTTTTGAATTACCTAGTTCTCATTAATGTAATTGAAGTGAAGTCACAAAAACCATCTTCTTTGATGAAGTCATGTTATAGATCTTGATTCTTCAAATTAGCAAAAAATATTTTAGTAGGAAGAGTAATATACATAGCATTAAGCTCTCCTTCAGTCTGCTGTGACATATAAGACCCACAGGATAGGCAAATCATTGGTTGCCATGTTAGAAATTGTTAGAAAATTAGGAAGGGAAGTTCTGTGATTATATGCCAATGTGGAATAGAGACAAATGGATCCACAGAAAGACTTTCATATTAGAATACAAGAGAGGATAAAAATACAATGGTTTGGGTGAGAAAGAGCTGATCTTCTTAAAGGGAGGGACTCTAGATAGGCTTACTAGATCCCAGTGGATAAACTTGCACTGAGGGACATCTGGGGACACAAACTTTACATGATAGGCCTTAACACAAATGACGGAATGTTATGAACTCTGGTGGAGCCTATAGGAGGGTGCCAAAGGGGAAAGGAGTAAAAAGATGATTTTCTGTATGAAATACACAAAAATTAAATAAAAAAATTTAAAAAATTACAAAATACAATGGCGTTTTCCAAGGCTGTAATCATCAAGATGATAATTTAGTATAAGTATTTTTAGAATTTGATGTAACACTCAGAATTTGAACCAACCATCTTACTTGAGCCAAAACTTGTTTTCCAAATTGCACGTCCTTCAAATCACAGCATGAGAAGTGGAAGCTGCCTGCCCATGCCTGCTCCTGCACCATTGCATTGTATCGCAATCCATCTCACAGTACCAGGGTACAGATTAAATGAAGTGATGGTGCACTAGTCAATTGCAAATCAGTATTCTTAGAATGGCCTGCTTTATAATGAAATTTGGAGTGTGGAATTCAATAAAAATTGAAACATGTATGTTTGTTATCATCTTGATTGACCTGTATCAAAGAACAAGACTGTTCCAACTGAAGAGCAAATCACTTCTGCAAAGTTAAGCTTATTATTGAACAATTGTATCACACCCTACCCCCTCATCCCCATCTCTTCCTTCCTTCTTTCTCCTCAGTCTCTGTTGAGCATACGTGGCTCCCTGTTTTCCCCAAGACGCAATAGCAAAACGAGCATTTTCAGCTTTAGAGGTCGGGCAAAAGACGTGGGATCTGAGAATGACTTTGCTGATGATGAGCACAGCACCTTTGAAGACAGCGAGAGCAGGAGGGACTCACTGTTTGTGCCGCACAGACCTGGAGAGCGACGCAACAGTAACGTTAGTCAGGCCAGTATGTCATCCAGGATGGTGCCAGGGCTTCCAGCAAATGGGAAGATGCACAGCACTGTGGATTGCAATGGTGTGGTTTCCTTGGTGGGTGGACCATCAACTCTTACATCACCTACTGGACAACTCCAGCCAGAGGTGATAATACATAAACCAGATACTACTGACATCTTTCTTCAATTTGAAGAAACTTCAGGCCTGGGCAGCTTAGCCTATTTTATCACCCACTTTCCTCATATGAAAGTGCTTAAAAATAATATGTGATTAATTGAGTGAGAAAAAAGATCTTGAGAACCATTTGACTTGTATGGGACTATTAGCTTTTTAGGCAAAGAATACTGAATATTTAGAGTCTGAGATGAAATACAAATTTGCAAATTCAGTAGATTCATCACAAATACAAAATAATGAGCACTTTCACAATCAGATCTTTATTATCAATGAAGGCTTCCTATAAAATATATGATCATCTATTAGTGCATATTCTAAAAAGTTTGTATTCTTAAAATCAAATATTATAATAGCTAATGTATTGACAATAGGCAGTTTTATACAGCTGTCTTTATTATGGTGCTATTTGAAAAATGACTCTAAAATACAATTCTGATTTCTTATAGGATGGCATATAGAATAATTAAAGAGATCTCTGGAAAGCACACACATTTCATTGTACATCTGTGTTTGTGCATGGAAAAAATTGGCCCATATATCAATTTGTCAATATAGCCTCAAAAAGATAATTCAGCCTTGGGACTATATAATCATAATATTTATTTTGTGGAATGATTGATCTAGTCATCATTGTTATAAGCTGAAAACATAATTTGTCTTTGAATGAAACAACTAATTTTAGCATGCTCATGAAAAAATCCAACCCCCCCAAATTTGCCACATTGATTAAAATACTTGTGTAATATAGTTACTTTACACAATTCCATCTAGTCAATGAATTCTTGTCAAATGGTATGATTTTTTAAATGTTTATAATAATCAATTCATTTTTTATTATTTGAAAACTGTTAGCTCAAAAAACTTGCATGAAGCGTGATTATCCAGAGAAATGCTATGTGTTCTTGTGCTGTTTATGGAGAAGGGTGGTTTGAGCTATCAGTATTTGTTTTGCAGGGCACCACCACTGAAACAGAAGTCAGGAAGAGAAGGCTAAGTTCTTACCAGATTTCAATGGAAATGCTGGAGGATTCCTCTGGAAGGCAGAGAGCCATGAGCATAGCCAGCATCCTGACCAACACAATGGAGGGTGAGATCAGGACCCAGAATCTGCATTACACTGGCTTTTTGCTTTGTGCAGCAGCTGTTCCTTCTTTTGGTGGAGCTGTTGATGGTTGCTGCCCAAGACTGAAACTGTATTACAGATGTGCTTATTTCTGTGACAGTATCTATTTATCATCATATTGATTACAAAAACAAATATTGATCTGTTTCCATTTTACTTGTGTCCTTAACTTGCCTGTAGAGTGATACTTTACCTCTTGATATTTTATTGATGAAGACTTATCATAATGTTACATTAGCCTTAAGTGAACAGAGCAAACACTTCCTTCTTTAAGTCTGGATGTGTAGAAGTGTGGGCAATGGTGTAGGGGCTAGAGACAGATAGGAGTAAGTTGGACAAATCAAAGGCCATGTTCCACTCCAACAAGCTCCCTAAGTGTTTTCTTCATCTTCTATGTACATAGAACTTATAAAATTCCTCTAGAGGACAGCTGGTACAAATACTTGTTGATTTTATTTACTGTTTGGCATTACTAAAACTTCTTTGAAAACCCCACTTAATAGTGAGATTATTGTATTTTCGATTCAGTCATTACTTATCTTGAAGTAGAATATTAAATTCACAGTACTTGTTTTTGTATTTAAAAGAGAAATAGGCCTATCAACATGCCATTTTAAGTGAGCAATTTATAGAAATATTTAATGAGATTGCCTTATAGTCTGTTAAGCCCAATAAATTGAGCTAGAGTCCCCATGTATCAGACTCAGTTTTACCAAAAAATATGCAGTCTTCTAGCAACAACAATTCATTTTTACTGTTATTTACTACTTTTCTTCTTTTTCACCCATCAGAACTTGAAGAATCTAGACAAAAATGTCCACCATGCTGGTATAGGTTTGCCAATGTGTTCTTGATCTGGGACTGCTGTGATGCGTGGCTGAAAGTGAAGCATCTTGTGAATTTAATTGTGATGGATCCATTTGTTGATCTTGCCATCACAATTTGCATTGTGTTAAACACCCTGTTTATGGCCATGGAGCACTACCCCATGACAGACCAGTTCAGCAGCGTGTTGACGGTGGGAAACCTGGTGAGTGCCACAGAGAGAGATACACCAGAGGAAAATATCATCTGTGCTGTGCCAAATTGAAAATTATATCTTTTCCTTCTCAAGAAGAGACATCTAAAGGAATATTGTAAGGCATCTTAGTATTTAAAATTCATCTGTTGTCAATGGTGATTATGTAGGGCAATGTCTGTGCTAATTAACCATGGCATCTTACAGTTGTAAACTCATACTCCTTAGAAGATTATGTACTGGAAATGAAGATCCAAAGAAAACATGAATAGTCATGCATATATTTTTCATGGAGATATTCTTTTGTGGGATCATTCTATCATTACAATGCTCTTTTCAAGGTATATAGGCCTCTCTTAAGTCCATGTTCCGTATAAATATAGCCAAAGAAAACACAAGATCCACAAAATTTTAACTCACAATGTCTTTACAGAAGCCATAATCCATTGAAGGGATGGCCAAAGAAATTATTTCTATTTTAAAAAGGCATACTTGTTTAAAAATAATTACCTCATAATAAAAACTCCACTGGTAATTATATTTAGATACAGTAAAAAATTACATTAGCCTAGGGATATGGCAAAAGTAGGTTTTTCTCTAGAATCTATAACCTCTCCAACCATGTACATTTGGCTATGTTTACAGTACCACATATGAGTTCCCTCCCACTGAGCAGGCCTTAATTCCAATTAGACAGTTGTTTATTACCCCCCCCCCAAGATGAAAGTGCCACTACTGTACCAATAGTGATTTTATTAGGCTTTAAAACTGGGTAGGACCACTGACTGGTTTTCTCCCTTGGTAGACTGTCTAGTATCCTCTAATACCATGGGTGCTAGTCTCCAGAGAGGAGGCTTCCATGTCAGTTCCAGCTCAGTTGCTTCAAATCTTATGTCTGAAGTATGGTCTGTCTTCAGTAATAGGGTCTTACCTTCAAGTCCTTGGAGGCAATCAGGGGCTGTAGCAATAGCCTGTGTTATTTTAGGAGTCGCTTAGATTTTTGAAGACCTTAGAACTAGATGTCAAGGGGTGGGAGAGATTGCACAGTGGTTACGTGCACTCACTGCTCTTGCAGGAGACCTAGGTTCAGTTCCCAGCATTCATTTGGCAGCTAACAACTGTCTCTAACTCTAGTTCCAAAGGATTCAAAACCCTATTCTTGCCTCCAAAAGTATTGCACACATGGATACACTTAAATACATGCAGGCAAACACTCATACACATAAAATAAAAATAAAAAAATAAAATTTTAAAAAAGGCATCAATTAACCTGTTCTCAGAATATACCTAGAATTTGGTTGTGATAGCATTAGCTCATTCTATTATATTTCAAGATGATTCATGGTGTTCAAAATCATTTTGGCAACCTATAATGTATTCTTAACACTGTGACCAATAAATAAGTCAGTATTGAGTTCGTTGCTAATGAGAGATTGCTTTTAAATATTTAAGCTATAGTGAGAAAATACTGATTACTTTGTGTTTCTATGAATGCCTTGTAATAAAATAATCCAACAATTTAAATATTTTAATCAATTTGATTTTGCTAACTTTCACCTGAAGCATTCATTTTGTTAAAATGTGGAAAATATGAACTGTATGACAATTGGACTGTTTAAAGATGTTTTTAAATTTTTAATTTTATATCATTTGCATAGATCTACAAGGAAATGTTTTTTAATTTGGTTTCATTAACATCAAGTGCTTGACAGCTATAGTTTATTAGTTTAGATGATACTGTTTAGTGCTATTTATTTGCATGTTAACAACAAAGCCTTTTGGAGGACCATAGATTATAATATGGAATACATTTCAGAAGCATTCTAAGCATCAAAGCAGGTGCTATGGCAAAGCCTGTGAGACAGGGATGTTGTAGGTCAATTACAAGAAAAAAAGTGCAAATACTCATTCTGTATGCTCTCAAAGTATGAGTATATGTGACCCTCTGGGTCACCAACTGAGACAATTGTGCATTTTACAATAGTACAACAGATTTTTAGTATAACAAAATAAAACTATTCAATAACAAAATATGAATTTGGATTTTGAGAGATGGCTCAGTGGTTAAGAGCATTGGCTGCTTTTGCAGAGGACCTGGGTTTGGTTCCCAGCACCCATGTGGCAGCTAACAACCATCTGTGATTCTAGTTCCAGGGGAATCCAACACACTCTTCTGACCTCCTAGGGCATTGCATGACAAAGGTGCACTTACACACATGGAGGCAATATACTCATACAAATAAAATTTAATAAATAATAACTTTTAAGAATATGACTTTTTAATTTAGCCATACTAAATATGTAAGTGCACATGTGTAAGTGCACCCATGTCATGTAGTGCCCACAGAGGCTAGAAGAGGACATTGGATCCCCTGAAACTGGAGTTATGGGCAGTTGTTAGTCACTGTGTGGGTGCTGGGAACTGAACCCAAGTCCTCTGCAGGAGCAGCCAGAACTCTTAACCATTGAGCGATCTTTCCAGCTCCAGTTGTTCTTAAGTTTAACAGTTTTCCTTAATATTAACCTCTGAAATGCCTTTTACTTCTAAAATTACTCATTTGTAATTGAACATATCAAATTTAATATTTAATTAATAACTATTGTACCAAACACAGTAAGAGAACATTAGTGAGTGTGTTTTTTCCCTCCAATGAATCCTTGGTGCTGATTATCCGGAAATGTTTCCAAAAAGACATATGTGATAAGTGACTCCCTATTGTACTTTTCTGGGAAGTACTTTCTAATTGGAATACACTGTTTCCTTGTGAGCATTAGAACCACGAATGGAAATGGATGCTGTTTGGCATGTTAAGCTCTAAAGCTGATAGCATTATTCTTTCTGATCAAAGGGAGCTAATCAGGGCTTTAGAGTGTTTAAACTGCAGAACTCTCCAATTGTGACCATCAGATGTACTTTAAGAAATAACCTTTCTTGCTTTAAGGAAGATAATGTATAATTCTTATCAATTTTGCATTAGAAATCCCCCATCTTTAGTGACTAATGCAGATATTACCTTCAAAATAGCATAATCAATCAGGAGTGGTGGCATACACTGGAAATCTTAATATTTAGGAGGCTGAGGCAGAAGGAGTCTTAGGCCAGTCTGGGCTACATAGTAAGACCATGCAATGGAGAGAGAGAGAGAGAGAGAGAGAGAGAGAGAGAGAGAGAGAGAGCTTCTACAGTTCTTAAAAACTGAGGCATTTTGAAAATTACATCTTTGAGCCACATATCTCTAATCAGTGATAAAGTTACCTCATTGATTGTAAGTAAAATACCTAGCTGAGAAAATATTAGATTGTTTTTATTCTGATTGCCCTTCTCTCCCATCTTCTTTTTCCTAGAGTTTCATCTTAATGGTTAAAAGTTTGCATAGATAATTAAGACCTTCCTCTTCATTATATCAAAATATTTTGGTTTTTTTTAATTAACATTTTTAATTTATTTATGTGTATGAGTGCTATGCCTGCATAAAAAATTTAAATTTATTTACTTTATGTGCATGAGTGTTATACCTGCATATATGGAAGGGCCCTCTTGGGGTGCAATGCCTGCAGAGGCCAGAAGATGGCCTCGGTTACCCTGGAACTGGAGTTACCAACAGTTGTTAGCCACCATGTGGGTGCTAGGAACTGAACCCTGGTCACCTGCAAGAGCAGCCAGTGTTCTTAACAAGTGAGGCATGATTCCAGCCCCACATCTCAAATGACTTTGAAAGAAGGGAAGGGGACTGACTTTTGGAACAGACAAGGTAAACAAACATGCTTCTTGAAGGGTAATAGTGCAGCTGCCTTCAGGGACCGCTTCGGCCGAGGTTTTGGATGCACGGGGAGGGGTTGCTACATCTTTCAGTTCCAGGGTAGAAAATGTTCAGTGGTAGCTTACAGATTTTTCATCTCACATTTTTTGAGCTAAGAAAAAAAATCTCTTTTGGAGTTCCAATTCAAAGACCCTCATGAGAGAACTGTGTTTGGCATGTTTCATAGCTACTCAACTCTAGTGTCACCAGCCTGGACAGAAGTGGGTATGGTAATTTGAAAATACTGAGTCCTGAGGAGTCATGCAGGTGGAGAAATGAGTCCCCACCAGAATGAGGGAAGGGAATTCTGGGAGAAAGAGGCATAAATGTGTACCTAATAAGTCACTCTTTCTCTGTACCAACTCAGAAGGACACATGCCTTTTTTTGCAACTATGATTCTTGTTATGCTATGATGCTGATTTTTTTTTCCTATTTTTCCTTGACCTTGCAATCATTCCATCCCTGACATTCTCTGTGACTCTTAGACACTTTTGGATTCTTTGTGTCTTTTTTTTTTTGTCTTTTTGAGACAGGTTCTCCTTGTAGCCTCAGCTGTCCTGGAACTCACTATGTAGACCAGGCTGGCCTTGAACTCACAGAGATCTGCCTGCCTCTGCCTCCCGAGTGCTGGGATTAAAGGCATGTACCACCACGCCCGGTTCTTTGTGTCTTTATAAAATGGTTTTTACTCGGTATTTTTATGACCTCAGCAACTCTAGGAATGATGCAGTTTTGTGGTGTAAGCTGTGTTCCAGTTCTACATGTCCAGCCATCATAAATCACTGTCTAAGGATTCCTTTAAGCACAGACTGGGCCTGGCTGAAAGGCCATCTTTCCCACAGGTTACTAGAAATACTATCTGTCTCTCCTCCATTTCACGCTGCCTTTAACAGGATAAATGCCCTAAAGGCAGAGCCACAGGAGCCACTGTGACTTGCCGCTCTTTTGCTTCTCATATCCATTATTTCATCTGTTAAGGTTTCTAATTTTTTAATCCTAAAAATGTTAAAATGATATCCTCTCACTATTGTTGTTTGTTGCATAACCACCCCTCAGCCCCCTCAGAACAACCCTGCCGCAATACCACACAAATCCAGCACAGTGGCTTGTGCATTTAAATGTAGGAAAATATTTCATTGTTCATTGTTTTCTGTATTCACATTTAGAGCATTCTCACGTCTCAGTTCTTCACAGTCTTCAAAGTTCCACTTCCTCCCCACCTCCTCTAACATGGCATTCTGCCCATACCAAGCATCCTTTCTTTAATTCCTAATGAGCTTATGAAGAAAACATAGTTGAATATTAAACATTTTCTTATACTAAGTTGTGGTTTTCCAGTCTGTTGTAAATACTCAATGACAGAGATCCTATCCGGTTTTTGTTTTGTATCTCCCCTTGTGTCTACATAGTAACACAGTAGTCCCTCAATAAACAACCCACTGGTTGTTTCTATACCAGCAGAGGGCTGCTTTAGTTGTCATGGTTTTGTAAAAACAAAACAAGCTAAAAAAACCCATAAGCTTCAGAGTCAACTGACAGTGGCCTTGACTATAATTGTCAATGCTTATGAATGATGTAGATGCTGGAAAAGTATTGTAAACAATCTGAAACTTTGTTTATTATTGAAATGGGTGTAATGATACCTGTCCCTGAGGTTGTTTTGAAGGCCGAATGAGGTAATGTGAAAGTACCTAGCTTTGTGCCTAACCTCTAGCATGTGCCCATCAAACAGCTTCCTTCCTCCCATATGGATGCTATTAAACTCTTAGACCTTTCTTTGAAGTACTGATGGAAACTATTTCTGCTCCCAGCTCTTATGTTTTTCCCAGGATATTGGACAGTTGGGAAAATTGAACAGGGGAGGAATATTTGAGAAACTTGCCAGAATAAAGCAGGAAATTGAGGTTTTATGGATTTCTGGTGTTGAATCTGTTGTGCATGGAAGCACAGGATGACAGAAGTTGGGTTACAGGATAATCAAGTGGAAAAGCACTGACAGAAGCATCAAGTCTTGGTCTTAATCCGAAAGTTCATTTACAATATATTACATTTTGTTGGGAGGTTATAGTTCACTCATTAAAATGAATGTTAGTTGAGACCTCAAATATCCATTGAGTTTCTCTAAGATGCTCTGTGTTTATACGGGATTTTTGCTTTTTCAGTCATTTTAAAATTCAAGCTCCTACCATACGAATTCTCTAAACCAGAAGTCTGTCCATTGTAGTAGATTAGAAAATCTCTTCAAACAAATTCCTTGGCAGTGTTAAACATACAGGAAAATGCAGCAACAATCCTAATGATTTGTGAGCCTGTCTATACTGAAAACTTTTAGGAGATATACCTGCAATCTTCAATTGAAAAGTTTCATTCAAATATTTTCAGAGGTTTCATGATGGTATTATGTTTTGGATGAAAATATGAATTTGGGTTATATATTTGTTGGTGGCAGGAGATCTGGTCAACTCAGGAGATCTGCAAATATCAATTTTGATTTTCTGTAGGAAGAAATACTTGAAGATCATTTATCTGGGGAGTTTCTAGATCATTTTAATGTGTTTCTGTCATCAGGGTACCTATTTCAAATAATAACTGTTTCTGAAAGTTTTATATAAGAGATCAAATTTGTGTGAATTAGAACTGATTTTAAATGCACCAGGGAAAACACCATTTAAGAAGAAAATCCCATGTTGAGCTGTTGTATAAAATGAAAACACCATTTGCAATATACATTCCACCATAAACCCTAGACTCAGGTGTATTAGGCTTGCTTAAAATGCTTTTTAGTTCTATTTGTGTGAATACATGACTAACAGCAGTTAAGTCATTTTCTGGGTTTGATATTTCCTTTTTAGATCTTTCTGTGAATTAAAAAATGAGATATTAGGGGCTGGAGAGACAGGAGGCTCCGTTGTTAAGAGCACTGGCTGCTCTTGCAGAGGACCCAGGTTTGATTCCCAGCACCCACATGGCAGCTAACAACCATCTGTAACTTCAGTTCCAGGGGAGTCCAACACGTTCTTCTGACCTCTGTGGGCATTGCACTTCACAGACGCACTTACATACATGCAGGCAACTCATACATATAAAATAAAAAAAATAATTTTTAAAAAGAAAACAAGATATTAGCTACATTTATGCTTTATAAGAATGGGTCAAGATTTTTTTTTTAGTTTAAGATTTATTATTTATTTATTTTTATTTATTTATTTTTACACCCACTTCCCAGATAGCACCCTCCCATAGCCTCCCTTCCCCCACTAGAGC